CTGGGATCATGACCTGAGCGGAAGGCAGAGGCTTTAACCTGCTGAGCCACCCAGGCGCCACAACATGTATTTTAAATGAATATAAACTCCATGCACTTGGATTGTCTAAGAATTGGACTTTAAGGGAACAACCTAAAAAGTGGTAATTTTTACTTGTACAGAGGAAATAATTTTGAAATACTGTAGTGAGGGATCTTTTGCAAATCTCCTCCTTTTTATAGTTTGTAGGAAAAGTTTCATTTGTTACCATGAGTTTAAAAATATGAATAAAAGGTAGATGGGAAAGCTATTTAATGTGTAGGGTTAATAGCCCACCACACTAAGGTATATTTAAGAGGACATACAATGATAAGAGTAGTACCATTGTACGGCAGTGTGAATTACAGAGTAATATATGAATGAAAACATTCTCAATGGAAAAGAAATAAGCCACTGGTATGTATACAGAATCAATCAGGAACATCTCCCATTCTACCTCCAAAACCGTTTGGGGGTCACTTTTTAGTCCATTTCTATGTATTTTACAAATACAAAATACACATAAGTTCTCTCTCATGCAAGCCCTCCCTTAAGAAGAAATGGTATCACCCAATGATCGTTGTTCTATAACTCATGTTTTTGTGTTAAACAGTCTATCTGAGGAGTCACATTTCTTAAACCTTTCCTTTATGTCTTCTGGGTTTTACCTCTCATTTTAGAAGTTCTTTTTGTACCCCACTGGGTATTCCAATGGATTTTTAAAGTGAGGGCATAAATGTTCATCCATGGTTGGATGGACTGGGCAGGCATTTAGAACATGACCATCTGCTGGACCAGAGGGCGGGTAAAGACAGTGACTGTTTTGATCAGGGCTCTGTGCCAACACCTCTTTGGTTTCTCACAGGTGTTCCTTGGAGCTTCATCTCTCCTTGGCCCCTCCCACTTCCTGCCCAGCCTCCTCTTCCCTCCTGGTCATCACTCTCTTTGCTTTCCAAGGGACAACAGTGGTTTCCAGGTAAGTGGAGGGGGCCCATGGAGGATGAAGGGGAATGGGTGGGTTCTAAAAACATTTTTCCTCTTAGTGTTTGAGGAGAGTGGGCCTGGGTCTGTATCCAGATGTGAGGGTACAGGCAACTGAAATGAGAAGTAACCTCCAATTTTATGCTAATTCAGTTCAGAGAAGTCAGGGGAGGAAACTGTTTCTTGTGCTCTGGAAATTTGATCAAGCATCAACATTTTGATAAATGGTCAAAACTGGTCAATGATCTAAATCTCCTTTATCTTCAAGACCAAAAGGAAAGGGATGACAAAAGCTGATGAGAAGTTATGGTCAAATATTGAACATTTAGTTACCAGTTGCCTAGTTTATATTAGCCAATATTTTTTTACTTTCTATTGCCTTTCCCCCCAACCCTTACTGCTTTTTAGCCCTTCCTAGCACCTTAAGATGAACAGGGGAGAGAAAAAGATGCTATTCCATGCAATCAATTTTTCCACTATAGTGGAATCATATCTTATGTGAGGGGTTAACTTCCAAAGTGAGAACGTAAGGTCAAAATCACATGCAGTCAAAATTATCTTAAGAATGGAGCACCTGGGTGGCCCAGTGGGTTAAGCCTCTCCCTTTGGCTTAGGTCATGATCTCAGGGTCCTGGGATCAAGCCCACCTGCATCGGGCTCTCTGCTCAGAGGGGAGCCTGTTTCCCCCTCTCTGCCTGCCTCTCTGCCTACTTGTGATCTCTCTCTCTCTCTGTCAAATAAATAAATAAAATCTTTAAAAAAATTATCTTAAGAAGGTCCTTTTGTGGTCCATAAGACCTGGGATATACTCAGTTTTGTTTTTTGTTGTTGTTGTTGTTGTTGGCTGTGACATTGAAATAGGTATGTTTCTTCAACTGAGCGCTAGATAAAATAATTGATTTGAACAGGTGAAGGGAAAATAAGTACCTCTAAACTCTAGACTGATGTTCTGTGTGTTGAGATCAGGACCAGCTACATAATTTGCAAGGTCCAGTGCAAAATGAAAATGTTGGCTCCTCACTGAAAAATTATGAAGAATTTCAAGATAGCAGCAGCAGAGCATTAAACTGAATGTAAGGCTTTCCAAGTGTGGGGCCTTGTGCACCTGCTCAGTCTGCATACCCATGAAGCCAGCACTTCATACGTACCAAGAAGCTTGGAATGTAATGAGGAGCTTGGAATCTGAGATCAACTCAGGAAGAGAAGCCTCACAACGCCCACAGAGGGAACAGAGGGCAAAATCACTGCCAGTGTTTAAATTATTCTGCTGTGCTCCCGGCACCCCGTCCCATCTGAGGACATGTAGTTGAATTGATATTGTGTTAAATCAGCACAAGATGCAGCCCCACTAGATAAGTCAAATGGTTGAGAGGTTGCAAATCCATACTCCAATTACATTAGGGGATCTTCTGATTTTTTTTTTCAAAGACTCATTACAATTTAAAACTCAGATTTATGGTGTGTAGAAAGAAAATAAGCATTTCTATTTCTTCACCTTGCAATAATTTTGATCGGGCCTTCGTCATATACGTGACAAAGGCAATAGAACAAATTTAAGACTGTTGTGTAATTTATAATAAACAAGCTGCATTACTGTGAATTTCCTAAGTGATTCAAAAAGGAAATTTAGAAAAATTAGATGTGACAATAAAAAGCTTACTAGAGAGATTGCCTTTTAGAGATTTTTCCCAGAAGGTCATGAACATAATCTAAGCAAGGAGGATTTTATTCTATGACTGCCTGAGCTCTCTGAGCAAGAATGTGATACAAGGCTTTTTTTTTTTTTAAGGGAACTGCCTAATATTTTATAGTACTATATTTTTTTCAAAGTGGGTTTTTATATACAAGCCAGACTGAGGGCGGTTGGTCAGGTAATTGACCAGAAGGTTTCCAGATAGCAAGTTATTTAATATCAAAGTAACAACAGGTTGTGTTTCCAGGATATTTTCTCTCCCCTGTGTGGGTCTCTGATGTTACCCCACTTCCACCCTTAAGGTTCTCACCCCAGCACATGCTGAAACTTGACTCATCTGCTTTGACCAAAAAAAAAAAAAAAAGCTTCCTTGCGGTTTTGAGAGTTACATATTTGAGCTTTGAAATAAGTGCCATGACTAAGGTCAGGCCACTGGTCACCCAGGTAGACTGGACAACTTTCCTGACTCATGCTCACCTGTTTCAACTTATGTAATCACACAAAAACAATCCTTAACAAGTGCCTATAAAGCCAACAAAAAGAAGCAAAGCTGCAATGTGTCCTTGTCACGGTGTCCAAAACTTGGGGGGATATTTTTGGTTAATCCTTCTATTGTGGAGTTTTTAGGGTGGTGATGGCAGTTGTTCAGTGGTGGTTGTTATTTGGCAAGAATTGAAATTGGAGGCTTCTGTTACCCTGACTGCTGATTCCAACAAAAAATAGAAACAAGGGCATGCTCACAGGAAAGAACCTATGGGTGGCAACAGCATTTATTCCTTAATCTCTTGGTTTGTATCAAGTTGTATATTTTAGAAGGGAGGAGAGTGTGGCATAAGGAGACACAAATACAAACTTAGAAAGATCAGCAGCCAGGTTTGTTCAGAGTGATTTACCTGATAGTTTCAGTAACTAACACTGACTAGTGTTTACTGTGTACAGTTGTAAGCACTTCGGATGATTTATCCTATTCCATCCTCAGCAAAATCCAATGAGATAATTATCATTGATTATCCATTGACCAAGATCTGATGGGTAGTTAACGTCAGAGCCCCAGGGTGAACCCCAGATGAGTTCGTGTTGTAACACTGAATTATCCCAGTTAGGATAACTGGGTTTCTATCCTTTAAAATGTTGCCTATCTGGTTTTTTCTAGAACCAGTTTTGCCTCCACAATTCAGACATGGTTTCGGTACGAAGTAGAAATACTTCAGCCTATACAAAATTCACTGACATTCCTGCATGAACCTTTCTTCCAAATAATGCCAATTTACAGAAGATACAGCGGTTTTTATGTGTGCTGTTGGAGGAATGGTGTTTCTGTTCATCCTGAAAGCACACCCGCAAGAGCCGATTAGCAGCCACGCTGGGGCTGCTTACTTACATTAACCAATGTCGAAACTTCTCGGGTAGAGAGGCGCTGCCCAGAACTCTAGAGGAAGTGAGATGTTTTATCTTTTGAGTGCACACGAAGTTTACGGTTTAAGTCTTTAGAGAGCCTGGGAGGGTGTGACTCCCAGGAACTAATCTTTCAGTCCAGCCATATGCAAATCTGGGCCGGTGTTTATGTGGAGGTGCAGACAGAAATGTAGGTGACAAGTTTGGTTACTGACGCGCGTGGGAACGCACCTGCCTTGTTGTCGGTTGGGCTGTGAGTGTCTGTGCGGACGCCGTGATGGTGGACACCCAGTTTGGATCGCCCCGCTTACATGAGGGAGGTTCGAGTAGTAGAAGTTCCACTCACAACCGGGGAGCTCGTACCATTATCCACGCTGGGGCGCCCCGGAAGCCCAAGCCAGTCCCGCGCTCCACAAGCACAGCCGCCAGCGGTTCCGCGCGCAGCCTCGCCCCGCCCCCAACGCCCCGACCCATCCCCGGCCCAAGCCCCTCCCCCCTACTCGGCTCCGCCCCCGAGTGTTGACAGCTCCGCCTCCAACGCCGGGCGCTCCCAGCGGCTCGGCTGCCCCAGTTCCGTAAACACTTTTCTCCCCGCCCCTAGCAATCCCCCGACCGCACCACTCGAAGACCGCGGGGGGGGGGACGGTTTCCTCTCGCATGCAGAGCACCGTCAATTCAAGCTCTTCTCGGCCTCTTTCATCTGAACATGAGGAAAGCTGATCTGTACTAGGCCAAATATGTCAGAGCTCTGCGATCGGATCCTGAAGTGACCTGGATTTCCCCCCTCCCTCGGCCCGTCTTCCTCCGCTCGCGGGTTCCACTGCTCCGCCGTGGCTGTCTCCTCAGAATCCCTCCCGGCCCTTTAAATACCGCGTGGGGCTGGGGGGAGACCGGGAGGTTGGGGGTTGTTGGGCTGGTGAGTTTTCAAGGTGTTTGTGCGGTGCTCGGTGAGGGGACACACAGAGACCCTTGACCCAGGCTCCCTAAGTCGCCTTTCTCCGCCTGTCTCTGCGGCGGACCCGGTGCGTATCCATCCGGGGGAGGGGGTCTCCGGCTCTGAGGTGACGGTCCCGGGTCAGTGGACCGGGACATCTAGCCCCAGGGCAGCCAGAGGGCCTCCCCCGACCTACCTCGGAACTCTGTCCTGGGACTCCGGTGCCAGGGGCGTTAAAGCCCCGCTACTTGCTCCCCCAACCCCTTGTTTGACCTCGAACCGCCGTCCCGCGTGGGTGCGGGGCGCGGGCACCGAGTGGCCGAGGCGGGTGTCAGCTTGGCCGCGGGCTTTGGGCCCCGGAGGCGGTGGGGTCGCGGCCGCTTGGCCGCGGTTTACATCCTGCTGGACCCGTGCCAGCGACAGTGCTGCGAAAGGCTTCCCACCATCCGGGCCCCGGGAGGGGGCCCCCTCTCTCGCCTGCGACCCCCGGCCCAGCGCGGGTGGGCGAGCCGTGCCGCGGTGGGGGCGGGCGCGGCCCGAAGCGTGTGTTTGGGGTTTGTTGCCGGGGTTTCCCTGGCACTCGGCTGGGCCTCCGCCATCCCCTCCCCCAAGGGTTTGTTATGACAGGAAACGTGCTGCTGGAGGGGAGGGGCTGCCTGAGTGGGTGGGGGGGTGTGTGCGCAGACTCTGGTGCCTCCCCTCGAGTGGACTGTCTGAGGGAAGAGGCGGGAGATGCCAGTCAGGCCCAGGGCTCGAACCTCTTACCTCTCGGGGATGGCTTGTGCTTCCCAAAACGGCGCCTCTGGGTGGCATCACTGGGGGTAACAGCGCTGATTTGGCACGTGGACGAACAGGGTACTACTGCGTTTTCGTTAGTACTGGGGGAAAAAAAACTTAATTAAGCGATTTCACAATGATATAAAGTTTCCTTTTAAAATAAATGTATTTAAGTGCAAAAATCTAGTCAAGATCGAAGTGATTGATAAATTAGGGTATAGATGAGGAGGGAGATGTGGAAACAGACATGAAAAGTGGTATGCAAATGACTGAAGTTTGGGAAATAATTGTCTTAGGTGGTTGTCCTGTTACTTTAACCTTGAGAAACCAGACAAGTTGTCCTTGTCCCCAGAGGGCCCCTCAGCCCTCAAGATCCTTGTGGTCCCATGGCCTCCAGCCCAGCCAGAGACCCTGCTCTTTGCCACCTGCCGATCAGAATGAGGTTAGGGCAGTGGTTCCACTTTAGGTGGCTCCCTGCCTCCCTGTCCTCTTGCCTCCAGGGATTTCATACATCACTCTGGCAGCCCATGGAGGTTGCCTCACTTGAAGTGGCCCAGGGCTGAAGATACTCAGTCATGTGTGGAAGCAGCTTCAGTGCCATTTTGTGGGGGTTGAGGTCCCCAGGAGGAATCACTGGTATTAAACAGGCCAGCCAGGGGTGGGAGGAGAAGCATTTCCAAGTGTGAAAAGTGCCTGGAAATCCTTCTCCCTGATGCTGTAATGTTATGTGTTCCATGAACATCTGTTTTCTTAGACAATGACTGGCTTGTTGGCTTTTATCTAGCTCTTTGTTGGCTCTAATTTGATGAAGACCGGTATTCTCTAGCAGAATGGAGCAGAACCTCTCTCTCTGCTCTGTGGTTTATGCCTTGCTGCATATGAATAACTTTCTAGCACTGCTATTTGGGACTGGTTCTAAAGCAGCATTTTGCAGAAGACGGAGATTTTCACACCATCTGCAAATTTTTTCTTTAGAGCCAAGTCTTATTCCTCTGACTCCTTACCCTTTACTACACATATGTGAATGCTTGTCTTTGCATATGACCTTGATCGGGTCTTCAAGGATGACATCCACGAGGTAGCTCTTAAAATTTCTCATTTCCACGACTCAGCCTTAACTGGTTGGGCTCCATTCCTTGTCCAGAGCACTGCTGGAAAATCTAAATATTTCATCTCAAAATGCTTTTGATATTAATTGCAAGCAGTTAAGACTTCTGATAATATGTGGGTTTTAACTAAGGATTTTGCAGTGCTTAAAGAATGGCTCCCGATAGAGGATTTTCATTTACTGTACTGGGGTGGTTCAGAATTATTTTGGACAATAGACTCTTTCAATGATGCCCTTCACGGTATAGCACTTGAGCAGCCACCCCGGGGTAAGGTCAGCTTGTTACCACATATGCAAGTATCCATGTGGTGTTGTGTAGATCGATTTGGCAGACTGAGAGTGGAAAGAATGAGCAGCACACCAAATTTTCTCCAGCCATTCTAGAGTGGTAGAAAGCATGGGCTATAGAAATCCATGGCCTGGCTTTCAGTTGTGCTTCTGCCACTGCTGTGAACCCTAGGGCAAGTAATTTAACCTCTCTGAGCCTCAGGTTCTTTTCTGTATCATGCAGATAATAGCAATACCTCAGCTAACAAGGCTATAATAAAGATTCAAGGAGATTAAAACACTTAAAGCACTTATGGGGGCTGGGATATAATAAGCACACAGTAACTCTTAGCTCTGATTGTTATTATTTACTATCAATGAGCATAAGAAAGTGGAAAGACACAATGTAAACATTTCTTTAAGCTCTGGAGCTCTGAGTCTTTGCTAGTTTGAATTACAGGCACTGGGAATTGGAAAGAGGAGACATAGCCCTTCCTGCAAGCAGTTTAAAATTTAGTGGGGAGGCAGATATGTAAACAACAACTATAGCACTTCAAGTGACTGCATAATGGAAATATGAGCAATGTGAGTGAGGCAGGAGAGAAGGAAACCCCAAGTTGTAATATGAATAGTAGTGTAGCTTAATTTGTTCTTCAGCAAGACTCCTCGGGCTCCCCCTCTATCCTAGGAAGTGTTCTCAGCTCTAGATGGCTAATTTAGATGGAGTGAGGATATCAGGGAATGTCACTTTGAAGTTGTAATATTTAATATTTAATTAATATTTAATTTAATATTTAATTTCAAACCTGAATGACAATAAGGAGTCCATCTGGTAGAGATCAGGGAAGCATGCTAGGGGACAGACTAGCAGGTGCAAGTGCTCCAAAGTAGGAAGTTTGGCATATCTGAAGAACCTGAAGGAAGCCATTGTGTATGTAGCAGGAAGGGTTAGGGAGAGAGTGATATGGGATGGTGTGTATAGGCAGAGGCCAAATCCCAGAGGAATATAAACCAGCCAGGAAACTTCTTAAGAAAAGGGAAACCACCTGGAGATGAACTCTTAGAAGGGATGATTTATTGTGCCTCTTCTGAAGGGCTCTGGCTTATTTCCTGTTTTTATTCTCCATACGCTGTTCAAGAAGAACACTGGGTCAAGCCAGACTGTCTAGAACTTTTGTAATAGAGCAGTATTTAAGCTAGTCCAGCAGTAGGGACAGTCAAAATCTAAATATTGCAGGAGCCCAGACTGTTCTGAATTAGACTTGAAGTTTTGGTTCAGTTCTACTCTTTTAATCTTTTGCTTGGAAATAATTTCAAACTTAAAGCAAAGGTTGTAGGAACACTACAAAGAACTCCTTGTTGTCTACCTTTTACTCATATTCACCTGTTAACTTTTTGCTCCATATGCTTTACTGTTTTCTCTTTTGGTCACTAAATTAGTCAAGAGAAAGTTGCATACATCATGGCCTTTTATTCCTAAATATGTAGTCACAGTATACTTATCAAAGTTAGTAAATTTAACATTGTAATATAGAAAGTAGATTCAAGTTTGCACCAGTGCTGTCAATTGATCTAATAATAGCGTTTTTTCCCCCTTTGGTATAGGAGTCAGTCAGGGATCATCTGTTGCACTCAGTTATCGTCTCTTTTCATATGGAACATGTCCTCAGCCGTTCCTTGTTTTTATGACATTGACATGTTTGGAAATCATAATTTCTTTCAGTAAGAATAAAATAATAGTTGACAATTTGTCAAGCACTTACTAGGAGCTTAAGTACTTGACATAGACTATTTTACTTAATCTCCACAACATTTTTATGAAGGAGATACTATTATTAGCCCCATTTTACAGATGGCTAAATTCCCTCTCTCCAGTTCGTAGATACCAAGAGTCAGGATCAAAAGCCCAGTCCACCTGATTCCAGAGCCAGTGTTCTTCCTGATTCCTGGACATGTACATTGTCTCTGGTGGATCTTTCTAATCCTGAACCTGTGCTGGACGGTTTGCAGATGAGTGTCCTATGGAAGGGAAATAAAGAAGTGAAGTTGGTAGTGTGGACACAGGCTAAGGAGTCAACTAGCAAATTAAAAACCCGCCTTCCTTCTGTCTGTCCCTTTAGATCCCTGTACTTGTTTCCTCTTCTCTAAAATGGCAGTGGCTATATTGCCATTCATTCAATAATAAATGTTTAAGTGTCAGCTGCATCCCAGTCATTGGTCTTGGAAGGAATTATATAATACTGAACTTATTAAATGAGAAAGAATAGAATGTAAAATGTGATTATTCTCCTTGATGGTGACCCACTGTAGTGTTGGAGGCTTTGCTTGGAGTTATCCACTGTTTTCACCTTTGACTTTACCTTTGGCGAGTAGTAAATCCTCCAGGTAGAATGAGATGTGGTGTTTCTGAAAAGTTGTGTGCTATGCTTGTGACTGGCAGTGGTGAAAGTTAAGTTGGTCTAAGTTTGTCAGTATGAGAAGCACTACCTTTCTTAAAGAGATAGACTGGTTTTATTATCACTATTCTAAGAGAGAATCCAAAATAGTTTTTAAAGCCATATAATTACCCTCAATGCCTTTTGAGTCAAGTAGCTTTGTCCCTAGATGACTTATATGGAAACCCGAGACCAAGAAAAGCAAGAACAGATGTGAAGGAACTTGCAGAAGACCATTTGGATTGGGATAAGGCGTTTGCTTTCAGCTTTAGTATCTCAGACAAGTGCAAGAGTTCTGTTGTAAGTTAACTAGCAGCTTGTTTATCTGTAGGGGAATATGCTTTTATCATCTTGGGATAAAACACTTCTCCCCTCTAGAGTTTTTAATGCCTGAAATGATAATAACAAGAAAAATGCAAATAATACTAATAATAGCAATCATTTATATCCTGTTTTCTCTGTCAGACACACTGTTCCAAGCACTCTACGTGTGTTGACTAAATGAAGTCCCACACCAACCCTATGCATTGGGTATTATTAGTATGCCTAGAGGAGGAAAGAGGCAGTTTCCTTATAGAATAATAATGGACATTTGGGCTTCAAAGGAAAGTTCCTCCTTGGATGCATTAAAGCCCAGTTGTGCCATGGAGCCTTTTACCATCCAAACAAGAGGGTCTAAACATTTTGAAGCTTTCACATTTTCTGTTGCATTCCCTGTGCCAGAAACTACTTCCAGTGAATTGTTGGAAGGAAACATAGTTGCATATTATTAAGTATGTCTGCCATGAGCACATTTAATTTCAGAACTTCTAGTGAAGCCTCATGGAACTCTGGGTTTATAGAATTTTAGCATTTCCTAGCTGAAAGGGACCTTATAGCTGGCCCAACTGTTCAGAAAAATGAGGGGAGGAGAGCCATTGTGGTGTGCATAAAGTCACACAGCAAATTAATGACAGATTCAAGCCTCAGAGTCTACCCTTCTAACTCCTAACCTACATCTTTTTATTTTTAATCTTTGTACTTTGATGCCTTGTTAAACACAATTAAGGAACCTACAAAGTGTGCTGTTCAGCTAGAGTAGCAAAATGAAATGGACAGTTACAACTATTAACCTATTTCATAAATTCCAATGGATGAAAGCTTTTATTCACCTTTACTTGGATAAACAGCTAAAGTGAAGAAAAATTAAGAGCAGAGCATACAAAGCACTTGTTATGGCAGAATAACTGAAAAAAAAATGGAAACAAAGTTCAAGATATTCAAATAAGAGTGTTACCAGGGTCAGGGAATGTTGAGTCTTAAACCTAATAAAGTGGGTTTAGGTGGTAGGTTCTCTGTTCCTGTGCTTTAACTTTGGCAGTACCAGGCCTTAAGCGTGTAGTGGTATCAGTTTGCGAATGTTCTGGTTGAAGCTGTACCAAATGGGATTCAATGATTCCGATTCAGCTGACACTGAATGAATACTTGTCACGTACGTGACACTGGCAATGGACAAGACGCATTCCCTGCCTTATTAAGGAGAGTCAGAAGTAGCCACGGGAAGAAAATAACTGTACAAGGGACGCAGCTCCATGGTGGAGATATAGGACATGTGCTGCAGATGTACAGAGAAGAATGTCATTCACTCTGGTCAAGGAGTAAAGGCTTCCTGAGGAAGGTAGCATTTTCAAGAAATGCTATCAGTGAGACATAAAATGGTGGCAAAGAGAGAGAAGAATGTAGAAGGAAGGACAAGTATTCCATTTAGGATTGGGGTTTGGTGGAAGTGAAAGAGATCAAGCAGACCCTTTTCTTCTGTTCTCTATTCCCTTCCCTCCAGCAGGTGGGAGTTAAAGCTCAAGTAGAGCCTAGTTTGTATGTGGTGAAGGAGGTGACTCCCACTGGAGTCTCAAGGATTAAGGGCTATTTTATAGCCTGTGCTGGTGGTGGTTGGCCTTGGGAGTCCAGGACAAGGGAGACCTCTCTACATGGTAGGTTTCTGGCAGCTTCTCTGGATTCCTTGCAGAGGCAAGGAGTTAGTGGTCTGTTTGTGAAAGAGGTGGGCCTGGGAAGGGTGCACTTGTACAATTGGCAGGACTGAAGGTTGGTTAGGTGAGGCCAGGGGCAAATGCCCTTGGGCACTGACCTTAAATTAGTGTCTCTCTGAGGTTCATCCTTGTCTTTGTTACCACCCAACTGATACAAAATGGCAACATTTCTCTCAACAAGACTAGATTTCCCCATAGGCCCACCCTGCCTCTCCTTTCTCATGCTTCCCCAGCAATGCCTTGTTTCCCCTTTTCTCATGTTCTAGCCTCTGGCACATACAGTTGTAGGTAACTAGACTTGAGAGCCATGAGAGTAGGGCCCTATCTCTTTTGTTCACTGTTATTTTCCCCGGTACTGCTGCATACTAGGCACTCAATAAATACAAAAGGAACCATTGAAGAAACTGCACAGGATTTCCAGGCATACTATGCACAGCTGTGTTTTCAAGTTTTTGTAGCTTTAAAAGCTCTGTATACCTTACCGCATGGGCTGGTTTAAAGAGACTCCGTGAACCCTTACTATCATTATTGCCTATTCAGGACTCGAGGGGTCTTCTTCCTCGGCCCCGGTTCCCCTTAGTGTCAGCTAACACCATACATGTCAGAGCCAGCTCCCTCCTGGGCCTTGCAGAGGCTTCTGGGCTCAGGGTGGGGCATCCTATGTGCCAGGATCTCCTTTGTAGGGGATGAGTGGGCCCAAGTGCTCTGCTCTTACCTGGAAGGCAATGTGATGTCCCAGATACAATACTGGACATAGAGTCAAGGGGCTGGTTTTATGGCACGGTAAGTCCCCTTGTCCCTCAGAGTTTGTCTCCTTCATCCATGAATCAGGATCTTCGGTGCCTGTTTGTTCATCGGGTAGTAGTGGGTACCAAGTCAAGTGCAGTGTCAGGCTTTACACTTTGTATCATGGCAGTTCACAGGAAAATGGAGAGAAACCTGAAAACTTGCCAGCCAGAGATTTTAGTTAGTCTTCTTCTTTCTCCAAGAGGCTCATCGGGAACTAAAGGGGCTGATTTAAAAAATAGTTTATTTAAAACAAAGCCATAGGAATAATAATAATAATAATAATAATAGCTAATATTTGAGTACTACACACCTTTAATAAGATTAATCCCATTTAATCTTCAAGCAACCCTCTAAGTTTAGTCTTTCAGCCCGGTTTTACTCAAGAGGTAGGTGGCTTAGTGGCTTTCCCAAAGTGACATGGCAAAAGACAGTATGAGCTTCTAACCTAGGCCGTCTAGCCTCGAGGCCCTACCCTCTTAACTCTTGCCTTCCATGTTTTAGAAACCCAGGGAGAGACTGTGTGTCTTCTGCACATTTTTTTTTTCTTCTGCACATTTTTAAAGGATCTGGTATTGCTGAGAGCTGTTCCACAGTCCCACTATATATGTTCTGAGTAAGTTCACACTTAGGCCTCTGGAGTCTCATTTCTGGAAGGCAGTCTTGAAGGCCTGGTAATATCCTGGCTGCTGTGGGAAAGATGTGGTTCTCTTCTGGGGACATTCCAACACTGTGACTCATGTGAGCCAAGCTGTCTACACTGGAAGAAGCATCTGTGACTCTGGTGGAAGTACCACAGAGCCTTGACGCGGGGTGTGTTTTTCTCTGCAGGCGCTATCTCTTTGCCCACACTCGAGTGACACAAAATGCCCTTCAATGGTGAAAAGCAGCATGTAGGCGAAGACCAGCCAAGAGATTCAGATTCTCCCCGGTTTTCCGAAAGCATGGCTTCACTCAGTGACTATGAGTGCTCAAGGCAGAGCTTTACAAGCGACTCTTCCAGCAAATCCAGCTCTCCTGCTTGTAAGCTGACAGGGGAGCAGGGGTTGTGGGGGGCGGGGGAGGGGGTGTTGGTTCTAGACATGTGTGTTAGATTTTAAAACTCATAAATGAACGAGTGCAAAGTAGAGACTCCCCCTCCTTTCTAGATGTACCGTAGTAGTACTGCAAAGGCAGGATTAAGTAACCATTAAAGTTTACAACCTGCCCATTTTTATTTTCATTACTGTCTCTGATCTGCTTTGGTTTGACTATAAATCAGGTCCCTAAACCCCACCTGTCTTTTCTCTCGAGTAGTGGAAAGCCACTCCCTCTTGAGATCACTTGTTGGGCCACATTCAAGGATAAGTTCAAACTGGTCTTTTCTGATAATTGCTGATTTACATGGAAGGAAACTTGCCCCAATTCAAGGGTCAGGCAGGAAGTGAAATAATCTAAAGGGTTTCCTGCTGATTTCAAAACCCGTTGTGCAAATCTCCCCACAAAAGTGCCCATGAGGGGAATTACTACACCAGGGCTGTGAGAAAGAGTTAAAAAAGTGGCCATAGTGAGGAGCTGTCTTTTCCCTTGTTTTTGTATGGAAACTAAAAGTGTGTAAAGCAAGTGTGTTTTGTTGTTGTTGTTGTTTTAGCTTTTTAGTTGACATTTTGCATAGGAAATATAACACCTTAAAAAGACAAAACAAATGCAGAAAGAAGCAACTAATGTCTCATATAATCAAATGCCCATGTCAAAAACATTTGTTCATTTGTGTTTATTTTAAATTTATACAATCTCAGTTTTTAAAATTTTGGAAAGTATGTAAGTATAGAGAAAAGAAAATTTTGCCCATACTATCACCCGAAGATGACAGCTGGTGGCGCTTTGTCATACTCATTCTTCACATAGACATATGTATGTATATATGTGTAGACACTTTTCACTTAGAATTATAACTAAAACATGGGGCGCCTGGGTGGCTCAGTCTTTTAAGCAGCCAACTCTTGATTTCAGCACAGGTCATGATCTCAGGATCCTGGAATCAAGCTCCACATTGGGCTCCATGCTCAGCAGGGTGTCTGCTTCTGGATTCTCTTTCTACCTCTGCTCCCCGCCCAAATAAGTAAATATTTTAAAAAAGAATTATAACTAAAATATTTACCATGATATAATATACTTTTAATACATGAAAACTACTTCAGTAAATGACTACACCATGAATTTAACCATTGACATTGGACATTGGTCATTGAGTTAATTTTCCTCTTTTTTTCTTTTTCTGTTACAAATGATGCTTTATGAACATCTTGGTGCATTGAGCCTTTCCAGGAATTCCTTTGGATATAATTGGATTATTGGACCCAAATGTACAGACATTTTTAAAAAAGAATCTTAATGGGACAGAGAATTGAGAAAAGAATTTACTAGCAGCCACTTAGCTTTTTGTGCTTTTTCTCACTCTTTATATTATGTTTTAGGCTGATGCCTCTAACAGAGTACGCAGGCATCCTAAAGAGGGGTTTTCCTAATTCCGTGTTTCACCATTTTTCCAAACTCTTCCTCGCCCTCTGCCTCCACATGGTCTTCCTCTTTCTCCTTCCCCTCTGCTTCTTTGAAAAAATTATTTTAGGTAGCAAAATATTGCCAGTTAGTACTGTTGTTTGAGGAAATGATTTTCAATTAATTGAAGTTAAGAGTTCCAATAGTCATTTTTAAAAGACACGGTTTATTAGAATAATCTTTAAAAGTAAGTAGAATAATTCTTTATATACTACTTCCTACTTAGATTATCCAGTTTACCAGATTAGTTTTATTTTAAGTATCTACATTTATGAAGTTCTTACTTTGTTCTTCTTTACTTAAATTATCTTATTTAATCACCTAAACTCAGCCCTGAGGAGGTGAGTTATGCCTTAGTGAAGTCAAATGATATCTACCAATTGGCAAAAGTTGGAATCAAACCTAAACATTATGCTATATTGCCTATCCTTTTAGAAGTTGTAGTTTTAAAAAATCAATTACTTCATCTTGAGTCTGTTTAAGTTAATGAGTCAACGAATTACAGAATAAAAGTAGTCTTATCAAATTCCTGCATAGTATATGTAATAAATGCAGAAATCAATAGGTACTAAAATATGAGGTGATTTAATAAAAGGAAGTAACTTATAATAGCTTATACTAATAAAATAGCCTGGAAGACATTTGAGAATTTATTATCAATATAATAACTGAAACTATCAAAGGAGTTCTTGAATTTTTGAAGTCTTAAGTACTAAGTAGGAAATCTACCCAGTTTAGTATGTATGCTTCTTATTTGTAAAACCCTGAACATATATGTTAGAATAACTTAAACTCAGTCTGCATCAGGAGGTTTCATAGGATGACAGCTTTTCCTCCATGACATGAACTGCATTTTGTTTTTGTTTCAGCAACAAGCCCTCCCAGAGTTATAACATTTGACAAAGTGATGGCGGCAGCAAGGAACTTATCAAACATGACACTTGTTCATGAAATTGCTGTAAATGAGAGCTTCCAACTGAAACAAGATGCTCTCCCTGAGAACAGGTAACCTGGAGGCATTTGTTCTGTGTAAACCGAGCGCAGAGTCTCATACATACACGTATGTTTACATTGATTCCTAGAAGTCTTGTGTAACAGCTACTGGGAGGAAATATTGGTTAGTTCTCTAACAAGGTCTTATACTTGTTTTTAAAGCCATTCCTCAAGGGTATATGTTACCCATAATCCTTAGAACTCAGCTGATATGTCACTTCCTGAGAGAAGCTTTTCCTGACATTCCTGAGCATACTAGATTACATTCCTAAAGACTCCTATTGCCCTCCTACCTCCTTTTTGTTAAGAAGACTTATAATTTTATGTTCAGTGTCTGTCTTTCCATGTGACCAAAACACCATAATGGAGGAACTATGTCTATATTGTTTGCTGCTCTATCCGCATTGCCTAGCAGAATGCCGGACATTTAGTACATGCTCAAGAAATGTTTGCAGGTGGACTTCTTAAAAACTGATATTCAGGTTGTGAAAGATAAATTAGTGGAGCTGCCAAAGTGCTAAGAATAGGTGATCCAGAAGCATCTGGAGGTAGGAATCATAACTACAGAGGGACCCCGGTTAACTTCACACACACCCCCAACCCAAGGACCTCTAGTTAGAGCCATGCCCTTATATCCTACTTCAGCCTCTCTAACTTCAGTGGATCATAAATCCCTTGGGACAAAGAGGAGAAAAGGCTGGAGGCCATAAGATATATCACAGATATATCATCTTTATAGACAAGGTTAGCTCACGAATAATGGCATTAAATCTTCAACCTCACAGTGTCATTTATAAATCCAGAGGCATTTCCTCTATCAATTAAGACAACATATAATATTTGATTCTATTTAGAGCTTTAATGTTTATTTGTTTTCAAGCAGGAAAGTAGCAAACATAATAATTTTCCTTCTTCAAAATGTGAATCGTAGTCTTCCTGCTCCTGGGGTTATTATTCATGATAATCATTGATATTTTTTTTAAGATTACTGGCCAAAATAGGTGTATCTGGTTGGTTTTCTATGGTAGCTGCATTTCACCATAATCCTTTATACCAGCTCTAGTGATGCACTCCTAGGCCAGGTTACCATCACCTCTGACCTTGACTCTTTAAGTCCTAACTAGTTGCCCTGTCTCCATCCTTAGCTCCCCCAACCCACCTTCCATATCCACACGGTAACCAGTGACCTTTCTAAAGGGTTAATCAGAGTAGGTCATTTCTTTGCTTAAAATCCTTCAGTGGCTTTTCTATTACACTTAGAATAAGAATTCAAACTCTTTAGTGTGGTAGCAAGGCCCTACTTCCAAGACCATGTCTCTTATTTCTTTCCCTCCTGCTTGGTATGCTTCAGCCACACTGGCTTCCTTACTGACCCCAGAGTACACCAACTCAATCCTTTTCAAGGACTTTGTCCTTCTTCTTCTGAAAAACCCCTAGATTTTCACTGGCTGCTTTTCTGTCCCTCCTTCAAGTCTCAACTCAAAGGTCTGTATGTTAGAGAAGCTTTCTTCAGCCACCAGTGAAATTAGCACCCTCTCTATCACTAGTTACTACATTGTCTTTTTCTGTCTTCCTCATGGTTCTGAAATTGCCTTATTTATTTTTAATGTGTTTTGTTGTTGTCTTCCTGTCCCAGCTAACAAATAAGCTTTTTGAGAGCGTACACTTTTTTTTACTATAGTAACCATAATACCTAAAACAGGGACTGGCATATACTGAATGCCTTATAAACATTTTTGACTGACTAAGAAAATGAATGTTTGAAAAAAAAAGAAAAGAAAAGAAAATGAATGTTTGAAGTTAAAATTAGTGTGTTTTATGAAGTACAGCAAAAGACAGTTTGGAAGTATTTATACTTTAAATTCAAAAGTTCCAAATATAGGTATTAGTGAAGGCACTTTTTGATCAGACAGGCTCTGGGTTTGAATCCTAGCTCTGCTGAGACCATTTCTGAGCTTTGTGTTCCCCAAGGAGATCATGGGGACTAAAATGTTGACTTCACACGCATGCTCATGGGCATCTGAGTGCCTTGAACTTAAATATTTTGATACCGTGGGAAATAGGAAAGCCTCCTTTCTTAATTTTCTGCCATAGCTGGAAAATGTGAGCAAGGAAAGCAAAATGCAAACTTAGGACAGTTACCTTTATTTAAAAATGAAATAGCATATTATAACCTGTTGATTTTTCAGATGACTTTCCACAGTCATCTGGCCAAGTTATTACTTTAAAAAATATCACTGACTCTCATATTTAACCAAATATTGTTTTGGGGGGGGAAAAGGCTTAGCAAAATATATCCAATTTCTGATACCCAGTAGGAACCCTTGTAAATAATTTGATTGATCTCATTCTTCCCCATCATCTTCCAGAAAATTAAAAAGCTAAAAAGTATCTTTCAGCCTTTAGGAAAACTTACATTTAAACTCTGATGTCCCTGCAGGAGCTCTAAAGTTGTTGTAGCTCCTTCTTAGTTGGTCCATTCAAGCCACTACATGAGGCCTACGAAGTCCAGAGTGAAATCCATGCCAGCAATGTTTGCCTTTCTAATGGTTCTGTAGTTGCTCGGGAGGGTCAACTTTAGAAAGAGCATTTATGTTGAATAACTCTAGTCAGGCAGCCAGGATAAGTTTTAACATTTCAAGTTGCTGAGTAGAATGTAGTATTTGCAGTTACAGAAACAATTTTAGCTCACATTCCTCAGAAAGCTAATTTTAATTTCTCATAACATTATTGTATGTTTAGCTATTTATACTCTAAAAAAATTAAGAGCTGTGCTTAACTATCAAATTATTAATTCAGTCACCATGCATTCATCAAATACTCACTGTATGCCAGGTGCAGTGTGCTAGGTACAATGGCAGATACTTAGGAGAAGAAGTAGTTATTGCCTCTGCCTGGGAGAGATGTATGACCTTTAGGGGATGGAGACTCATAAGTACAGTGCAGGGAAATATGTGCTTTTCTTACAACTGTTGCCAAATGTAGTAGGTCAGTGTATTTAAGTGTGCACCTGTTTTATGACATTGATATAAAGGGTGAAGCAAAGTGGTCACCTCTTCTATTGTAAGCTCTTGCTAGGAAGGTTCCAGTTTCAGCAGCCCGGTCTGGCTGACTTTAAATGGGACATCTAAACTGTGGTTGGCAGCGTTCACACGCATGTCTGCTTGGGCCAATCTGTTCTATTCTGTGCAGTGAAACTTCAGCTGTTGAGGAAAGAGCAACTTTGCCATCTCATCCCCCAAATCTGGAACAAGTCTAAAGATCTATAGAGTAGCTAGGTAAATTATGGCATCTCCTTAAGACAGAATTTTATGAATTTATTAAAAACTATAGCAAGAAAGCATTTTTAAAATCTAGGAGAAACTCTTAGGACAGACTATTAAATGAAACAACTATATAAGATACCTATTGGTTATCCTCAATTATATTAAAACAATGCATTGAACCAGGGAAATATGTCAAAAGATTAAAAATGACATTATGGGCCATTTTTTCTGTTTTTTTTTTTCCCTGCATTTAATGAGATTTTTACAATGGGCACATTTCTTTTATAATCAGGAAAAATAATGCTTATTTTTAAAAACAATTTCCTTCCTGTAGTTTAGCTAGTCAAGTGAAGCACATTGTCCACCAGGCCTTCTGGGACGTCCTGGAGTCAGAACTGAATGCTGAGCCTCCCGAGTATGAACATGCCATCAAACTGTTTGAAGAAATCAGAGAGGCAAGTTGATGTTGTCTATATTGATTAATAATTTTTTTCCCCAAAGGCTATTTTTCTGTCCTCCAAAGAGTATTGGAGATTGTTTTTGGAAAACTGAGTAAGTTCAATCCCTGGAAGGGTGGTTTCCAAAATGCGCTTCCTGGAGTTGGGGGGAGGCTAGGGAAATAGGACAGTGGAAGGAGCACAGGGCAACACTTCACACACAAAGAGTAGTGGTCACAGTAGTTAAAAGCTCAGACTGGAGAGCTAAACAACCTGGTTTAGTGATGGGCTAAACGAAGGCTTTCCCTCCAGGAGTTCTAGTGTCCTGAGTACCTGCAGGGTAATTGTAAGATTTAGATGATATGACAGTTACAGTTTTAACTACCATTCACAAAGCGCTTGCTCTATGCCAAACACTAGATGATTCATTTGTTGTTACCATAATGCTGTGTTATTCTTCCTGAATAAAAAGAAGCCAAGTTCCCTTACTCACCCAGGGTTACATAGCTTTGAGGAGTAGAGAGGGACTTGAGCTGAGGCACTCTGGCTTAGAATCCGTACTCCTATGCTATGTGCTGTGTGTGTAAGCACAGTGGTCGCTGTGTGGTGAATACTTAGGTTAGGTTGCTTGTATAATATATAATAAATATTTTATTTATTTATTTATTTATTTTTTAAAAGACTTTATTTATTTATTTGAGAGGGAGAGAGAATGAGACAGGTCAGCTGGAGAAGCAGACTCCCTGACGAGCAGGGAGCCTGATGTGGGACTCAATCCTGGGACTCCAGGATCATGACCTGAGCTAAGGCAGTTGCTTAACCAACTGAGCCACCCAGGTGCCCCTATATAATAAATATTTTATATGTAAAATATACTAATGGAGCTCATGGGGTATTTCCATTTGATCTTCTTTAAGGGGTTCTTGTGGAGCCATGATCTGCAACTTATTCTTTCTTTGCGTGGTTTAAATGTAAACTTTTTGTAGTTATTTCAGTAATATTCCTTCCTTGCCAGTTGCTTTTATTCTGATAGTTTCAGTAACTTCCATGGGCTGGAGACTGGGGCGAGGGGCACTTTAATTCAGAAGCTAGAGCTTTCTTTTTAGAGTTGAGGCACTAGAGTGCTCCTCTGACCCACCATGCTTCTGTGGCATCCAGGCATTAAAATATGCACAAGGAGCTTAATCATCTAGACACTGAAGTTAAAATGACAACCCTATTCACGTAACAATGCTGTTAACTTTCCTTTCCTATGTAGACTCTCCTCTCTTTTCTGACTCCTGGCGGCAACCGACTTCGCAACCAGATCTGTGAAGTTTTGGACACAGACCTCATTAGGCAACAGGCTGAGCACAGGGCTGTTGACATCCAAGGCCTGGCCAACTATGTCATCAGTACGATGGGAAAGCTGTGTGCTCCCGTGCGAGATGACGATGTCAGAGAGCTGAAGGCTACCAGCAACATCGTGGAGGTGCTGAGGTTAGCACTTTCGCTGCTTGCATTTTCTTTTCTTATCTTTTTTTTTCCCCCAAAGATTTTATTTATTTATTTGACAGACAGAGATCACAAGTAGGCAGAGAGGCAGGCAGAGAAATAAGGAAGCAGGCCCCCCGCCGAGCAGAGAACCTGATGTGGGGCTCAATCCTAGGACCCAGGGATCATGACTGAGCCAAAGGCAGAGGCCCCAACCCACTGAGCCGCCCAGGCACTCCTGCTGCTTGCATTTTCTGAGAGTACCTTTGAGTTCATTCAAAAGGGAAGTGTGGGGGGCAGGTACCTAGGTGATCCAGTCAGGTATGTGTCTGACTCTTGTTTTTGGCTCCAGTGGTGCTCTCAGCGTCATGAGATCAAGCCCTGAATTGGGTCCCATGCTCAGTGTGGAGTCTGCTTGAGATTCTCTCTCCCTCTGCCCCTCCAGATCGTTCTCTCTCTCTCTTTCTCTTAAATAAATAAATATATATTTTAAAAACAAAACAGAGGGACGCCTGGGTGGCTCCGTGGGTTAAAGCCTCTGCCTTCGGCTCAGGTCATGTTCCCAGCGTCCTGGGATCGAGCCCCACATCAGGCTTTCTGCTCAGCAGTGAGCCTGCTTCCTCCTCTCTCTCTCTCTGCCTGCCTCTCTGCCTAATTATGATCTCTAAAAAAATAAATAAAAAAATAAATAAATAAATAAATAAAAACAGAAGGGAAGTGTGGCAATTGAGTAACCCAATAATAACTGGTCTCCCAAAGGAATCCTTGATCTTAGAAGAAAACCAGATAAGCAAAGCTAAGTATTTTTGTGCCTCACTGCCCTGTCCTTTTTTCCCCCTCTCTATCCCCCACCCCCAAATTTAGTAGGAATAGAAACCATGTACACTTTGTTCAGACTCCCTTAAAATTTCAGGGGTTTCTAATGAAAATTCCTTCTTGAATCTTCTTTGTCTCATTAAGACTCATTGTTTATGCTTCTTAGTGTCTACTAGTTTATGGCCAGGTGTAGAGGATCAGCTGGAAGTATTGTATTTGCTAAAGCAAATACTCTTGAGATCTATGAAGGATACATTGGAATGCACGTGTAATGCCTTCTATGCAAAGTGACCTTGCCAATGGCAGTTGGAATTTCAAAACTATCTGGGGTTGTTTATTGTTTCCAGTCTGTAAAATAGATCACAGTTAATGAATTTCAGCTTAATTTCTTAATCAGCTCTCTAACTATTCTAACTCTAAAATTTTTAGACAAATATTTCATGTCCTGGACCTCATGAAAATAGACATGGTCAATTTTACAATTAGGAGTCTTAGACCACATCTTCAACGCCAGTTGGTGGATTATGAGAGAACTAAGTTCCAAGAAATTTTAGAAGAAACTCCAAGTAAGTACAATATAATGTGTATATATTGAAATTAGATGGAAATATGATGTTTACATTTTTGATGTCTTAAGGAGTATCATTAAAGAATTTTGGCTTTTCTGTTAAATATTTTTTTAACTTCTAAAATAGACATCACAAATTTATCGCTGTCTGCCCATGTCCCAAGAACTGTGCCAAGCACTATTCGTTTCTTCATGTATTAAAAAAAAATATGTATTTATTGAGCACCTGCTGTATCCCAGACACTGCTTAGTTGCTGTGAATACTGTAGTGAGCAAAACAGTGTTGTGACCCCCAAGGAGCTGACATTGTAGTAGGCATGGCAAGCAAACAAATAACATATATTGTCAGATGTGTTAAGTGCTGTGAAGAAAAGTAGGAAAAAAGGGCAGAGAGCAGTGGGGCAGGAGTGGAGGAGATGGTGTTTTTTAAGATAAGGTAGACTGGGAAGACCTCTCTAAGAAGGAACATTTGAGCAGAGTTTGGAAAGGGAAAGAGGAGGGGGCATGTGAAGGTGAGCAAGGAATATCCCAGCCTGAGGGAGATGCATGGGCAAAGGAGTGAAGCTTGCAAGTGAAGTTGGACAGACAAGGGAAGACAGTGTGGCTGGAGTAAAGTAGGCAGGGAAAGAGTGGGAGGAGAAGAGGCCAAGAGGTAGACAAAGGCAGGTCCTAGAGAGCCTTGCTTGGAAATGAGCATTGAGAGTTGAGTCCAAGTGTGGTGGGAAATCATTGGAGAGTTTTGAGCAGAGAGGGCAACATGGGATTTTCATTTTTAAAGACAACTCTGGCTTCTGGGTAGAGAATAGATCATACCGGAGCAAGGAGGGAAGAGAAACAGGGACACCAAGGAGGTGGAATTGCAGTTGCTCTGGCAAGAACTAATGGTCCACGTAGCAGCAGTGGAAGTAGTACAAACAAGTCAGATTCTGGTTGTATTCTGAAAGTTGAACAAAACGATTTGCTGAAGGTTAGATGAAGGTGAAAAGGGAGACATTGAAGATGATGCTCAGGTTTTCACCTGAGAAGCAGGGTGAGTAGTGATGGCTGTTTGTGAGGCGGGGCAACTAGGGGAAAGCCGGGAGGGAGGTAGTCCGGAGGCAGGGTTCGGTTTTAGATATATGAACACAGAGATCATATTTGGCATCAACATGGTCAGGTAGGCCTGTGGATGTGAGAGACTAGAGTTCAGGGGAATGGTGAATGCTGGGAGTATACATTCAGGACTCACCAGTATATTTATTTATAAAGCCATGAAACTGAATAATAACTAATATGTATAAAATGTTTACCACATGCTAAGCACTTTACCTATATTAACTAATTTGATCTTCGCAATAACTTTAGGAAATTGCTTTCCATTTTATGATGAAGAAACTGAGGGATGGACAGGTTAGATCCCTTGCCTCCATGACACAACTTGTAAGCTATGGGGCTTAGACTCACTCAGGTGGTCTGGCTACACCATTCATGCTCTTAGCCACAATATTGCACTAGATGAAATTACCTGGGGAGTGAGTGTCAATACTAAAGAGGCCTGATTTGGGATTCTAGAGCATCTAGAGCTTGAAAAGAGGAGTAGGATCCAGCAAAGGTGACTGTGAATGAGTAGCCAGGGAGGTGAAGGAAGCCAGGAGCTGGTGATGTTCTGTAAGAAAGTAAACAAAACATTCGGAGAATGAAGACATAATCAGCTGTGACAAGTGCTAAGTGGTCAAGAAAAATGGAGGCTAAGGCTTGACCACTGGGTATGACTGCATGAGGATTTTTGGTAACCCTGATGGGAGCAGATTCGTGAACTACTGGGCATTAAAGCTGGATTGTAAGAGGCGTCGAGAAAGCCTGGGAGTAGAGAACGTGATACCTCAATGAAACATCACAGTTACTTAGTTAAGTAGGTACTGTTATACCCTTGATTTCACAGGCAAGGGATTTGAGATGCCAGATGTTGCACAGCTGGCAAAGGTCTGGCTTACCAGATTCCCTCATTGCCACTAGCTTCTGGGCTTTTAACACTAGCTTCTGGATTTTAATTCACTATGCTATAAGGCTGTTAGATGATCCCCCATCCCTCGTGGACTGAGCGTTTCTGTCGAGCTAGTCAGTATGGTAGCCTTATGTAAACAAAGGGAAACAGGTGCCACTTTTAAAGGGGCCCCAAGAGTCTGGGGCATGTCCGCAGAGGACCTGGATGGTGGAGGGTCATAGGAGGAACAGACCATGAAGCTGAGCACATTTGGTTTGGTAACAAGGAGATACACATGGGCCATGAGCACTGCCTTCCTGTTGGTACTGATTCAGGGACTTTGGGTTAAGCCCTGTAGGCAGACTTGGATCCGTGGAGGGAAATCACAGGCAGAGTTTTGATCTTTTTAGCAGCTGGAGATGTTTTAAGCTTGGAATGAGCCTCTTTATTACTATTAGTAGTCAGTGCCAGCTATCATTTTGTTGAACACTTATTATATACCAAGTCCTTACTATGTGCCAAATGTTTTACCTTTGTTAGTCCATCAAAGCCTCACAAAGCCCTATGAATCTGGCACTGTTATCACTCACTGTTTATACATGAAGAAATGGGGGCACCTGGGTGGCTCAGTCGGTTAAAGCATCTGCCTTCGGCTCAGGTAATGATCCCAGGGTTCTGGGATCGAGTCCCACATCGGGCTCCCTGCTCAATGGAGATTCAGCTTCTCCCTCTCTCTCTGCCACTCCTCCTGCTTATTGTCTCTCTCTCTCTCTCAAATAGATAAATAAGTAATCTTTAAAAAAATATATAAATGAAGAAATTGAGGTTAAAGTACTTACTCTAGGTGACTGCTTAAAGCCTGGATGAATCAGACATGTCTCTGCCCCAAAGCATGTACATCGAACGCTACACAACACTGCCTGTCTTCAAATGAGATACTGACTTTCTTTGGAAGACCTACAGAGGGAGCTCTAGCACTGAGTGGCAGATAAGATTAGATGACTTCTAAGAATCCTTCCACAACAAAAATTCTGTGACTTTAGGGCTGTATTGTTTCTGCAAAGGAAGAGAGGGATTTAATGGAAATAGAACCCCACATAGAACCTGAATCTGAAACCTGAACTACAGTAACTATGTTTGTAGCAGTGTTTTCCTTTCCGGCATTTTACTGACTGGTTTCATTTGTTCACCTGTGTACATATGTCTACATACGTGTGCCGATATCTCTATGTCTTGAGTCAAGATAGCTTGTCATCTGGAGGAAATTCCTTAATATTGGTTTGAGTTGTAATTTTGTTCATCTTAAATTGTTTGTTTCTGTCCTTAAAACCCAGGCTTTGTGACCGGCAAATCATTTGTACTTTTCACATTGACTTGGATATTTTCAGAGATTTAAGAATAGAATAAATCCAGTTGTGGATATAGGTCATTATTGCCCAGCTCTAAATATGTTCCCAGAGAAATTGAGAGTCCAGGAAGCAGAGTGTATGTCAGCTGTTAATTATATCCTCAAGTCACTCTGCCAAAAGTCGGTCACTGTGCCCTAATATCAAAATAAGAGCCTCACAGTAACATGCAGGACAATTGGGTTGGATTTTTGTGTGTACATTTTTTATAAAATAATTATTGCAAAATTAACGCAGAGAAGCACTCTAGATTTCTGAATTGACTCCAGAAAATATTTTGCCGACAGAGTTTTATATAATTGCCTGATTTAAAGTACACCCCAGAAAGCCTCAGACAATGATTGGATACATGTACTGAACATCAACAGGATAACCACATCAGGTCCAGCAACTAAATTACCTATAGAAAGAGTAACAGATTACCTCTCAGGGACCAGAGCACAAGTAATTTCTAAGATACTCAGAAAGAGAAGGTTTTTGTTTATTTAGGTAATATCTTGTGTCTGATAGACACAATGTTCTCATAGAACTTCGTTTCATGTGATTCTTTCAGAAATCTTGTGGGACATAAATACTTTCCAAAATCACATCAAACTGCATTTTCATTTTCTTTGCCTGGCGCTCAGGACATTTAGGAACTACTAATGGAACATTCTGAAGATGAGCAGACTGACGCTCAGCAATGGCCTGCCCAAACACCAGAGAGTCACACAGCTAGTAAGTAGTAGAGCTAGGACTAGAAGCCAGTCTCCTACATCCAAGTTGAGACTAAACCAAGCTGCTGCTTTGGCTGTTTCCTTTGGATTTTTCACTTTTGTGTTATGTCAGCTGGGTTATATTTCAAGCAACAGAAACCGACTCTGGGTGATCTAGCAAAAAAGGAAGTGAATGGAAGCACGGGGGCAGTTCGCCAAAAGAGCCAAAATACCTGAGCCTGAGCAAGGCCAGGAACCAGGAGAGCATCAGGAATCTGGGCAGGGAAAATAAGGAAAAGTTCCTAGCTCCATCATCAGAACAGTTAATGTGTATTTTAAAATGGCCCAGCCTTGAATACTGTAGTCACCATTCAGATCTCAGGAAAGTTTGATGGGCATATGACTCAGCTAGGCCGACCCATGGTCATGGGGTTTGCCTGGTCAGGGACCTCTTAACTGATATTTACAAAAGAAACCATGGAGGGAGGGAAAACAATATCTCAAAGAAAGCAGTACCAAGGGCTGCTTGGCTGGTTTAGTCATGTGAATCTTGATCTCGGTGTCATGAGTTCAGGCTCCATGTTGGGCAGGAGCCTTGGAAAGAAAATGAAGGAAGGAAGGAAGGAAAAAGAAGGGAGATGAGGTATTGCTAGGCATAATAGAGCAGGTGTCATGGATAAAGGGAGCTATATTCTTCTAACTGGAAATTGAAAATTTTAGCCTGAATATTTTTCCAGGAGATTGAAAATGGGAGCCATCTAAAGCTTTGCACAACATCAGGGTCTTCCAGTCACATATTTCTGCAGCACTCTCTTAGTTTATAGGAGTACTGTCTGCTCAGAATTATACAGGCCATCCCCCAGATCCAGGATGTGGAGTTGTTGCCTTTTTAGGAGTTGTTACCAGAGTTCATACTTAATAAGAACCAGATTTC